AAATTACATAATTCTAAATAAATGTGAAAAAGGTGTGGCCGTGTTCGCACCACAGGTTCGGGACTTTTTCGGGAGGAACTTGTGAGCTTTGGCCGCTCGGCCGCCACCTCGTCCAATGCTCGTTTCTTGCGCTCTTGAGGTCTTCTTGAGCATTGGAGAGGCGACGGGCGACCTCAGCCCCCAAGACTTCCGCATGCGGGGACAGCATGGGGGGGGGGAGTGGGAGGGCATAGGCAATGTGACCTGTGATGTTAGGCGACCACACCCGGACATCAACAACCCCAATTCTCTTTCTAGCCATTCATACACACAAAACGTGGTCATATTTGATGCTAATTTTTATTTTCAATTCTGCTTAATTTGGAAATGAATATTTTGCAACCCACCCTGGATTAAATTTTGACTTTCCAGTTTTTCGCTTCAATAGATTTGAAATTTTCAACCAGAAGTTTGCGTATTCTAATAAAAAAAGAAGTTTGAAATTTCTGCTGAGGACTATTTTTGCGATCAGAGAATGGCGGTAGACCTTTGAAGGTCTCTGGGTCTGATGCAACTATGAAAGTTAGATTCCATTGTTGAATGTCAAATTTTGAAAAATTCTTGGGCGAATCTCCAAATTTTGAAAAGAACACAACCGATGTAAGCAACGAAAGACACACTGGCGGAAAGCTTGTTTCATGAGGAAGCCGAAAATGCCGTGGTTTTTGCGATTTGGTGACACTTGACCTGAGAAAGAAAATTTTCGATTAAGTCTGTTTGTTTGCTTCCGGTATCATTTAATTAGTTCAACTCAAACAGGAATAAATATCAAATAATTGAAAAAAATTTAAATTTTATATTTTCATTTCATTTAATCTTAAAATAAATTTAAGAACGGTAAAATTTGATGTAAAAGTTTGATCAATAATTTCATTCTATATTATTATTCTCATTTCTTTAATTTTTGTGTAACTCATTTAAAATCCAGTTATTTAAATTGTCAGGATAAAATTATTGTAATTTTGAAAGAAATAAAACCGAAAAAGACTTCTGCCCCAATGTTGAAAAAAGGTTTAATCAAAAACATTTCACATGTGACCTGAAAACAAAAACTAGATCAAATTCTCTAGAGTCTGGAAAGAGGAAATGGCCTCACATATTCTCCATTTCATTAAAGTAATTTTGATGAATTGCACTCCCTGGAGATGCAAAATTTTCCGTTACAATTGCAAATATATATTTTTCTCTCCTCAACTGTTGCTCGCCGGAGGAAAATCCTTGGAGACCGGTGTGTGTAAATCGAAGTGTCGATCGGAAATTTTCATTGTGAGGTAGCGCAGGACGAGGTCTCCCTCGGCCGTCGGATCGGATAAATAGAAGAGGGCGGAGAAATAAATTTCGCCGGCAGCAAAAATTACCTCTGCGACTCTCTCGACTAATTCCGCGTTGGCTCGCCACCTTTTCCTTTTGATTATCGCGTCCGGTCGAAGCCGTAAATTTTCCGGAAAAAAAACCTTTTTCCACCGTGCCGAATTCGATTCCGGAACATTGAATTTCTGAATGTTTATGAGCCTAAATGGATTTTATTGCTAACTCTTTCCACTTTCCACACATCACAGTAAAGAGAAAAAAGTGAGTGAAAATTTTCAGACATTAAATTGAAATATAAAATTGTGTCCTCTTATAATAAGAATGGAAAAAATGTTCACCTTTTCCCGACAAAAGCATTATTGGAATTTTGAAGATATTTTTGTTTAGACTACTAATTTTAAGATACTAAACTTGACTAAATAAGCATTAATGCTCAAGACATCAAAACCTCTGAAGATTCAAATGCTTTTGGCGGGAAAATGTGAAATCCAACTTCGAAACGCATAGTGTGATTTTTTTAAATCGCAAATTCTACTTCTTTCATTATTCTGTTCTTTTTAAAATTTTTAATACCACTAAGCAAAAATTATTCCTGAAGAGGCTCTTTAAACGTATAGTCTATTAAATTCTGATGAATTTCAAGATTCTCTTTCTTTAACTCCAACTCAACGCAAGAGATGATTTTCGGTGAAGAGACGACATTGCCTTTTGTTTAAGCACAGAACAATTATTATGAAATTAAATCTGCGAAATTGGCCTAATTCGCATTGTGACAACGACGTGAATTAAGAAGCTCTTCTTGTTCAACGGCGCGCGTCGACGAAAATTTCGAGTGCGAAACAAGAGCTTTGTTTCCACTTTACATGCAAAATAACTCGCTCTTTTATGGAGCGTCGTAACAATAAAGAGGCCGCCGCCGCGTCGACGACGTTTTGCAGAAGCAAAAATTTCCTTTGAACGATAAACCTGCTCATTTATGTCGGAAAACAATTTGCTCATGTGCGCTGCAATTTTCTCCTTGCCGTTCCGCTTCAATAAAGGAAATCAAATTTGTCCCCGAGGTGACACCAGGCAGTAGAAAACGGTAAATTAGATTTCATTCTATTTGTTAAATTTGTAATGTAAAACCTAAGAAACTATTGGATTTTTAACATTGTAATTTTCATTTAAAAATATTTCAGGTGTTTTTAGCCAAATTTTAAATCCAATTTTTATTTAATTAAAAAATAATTCCATGCATAAGAAATCTTATTAATTTTTTCAATAAAAGCAGTTTTTGAAATTTCCATGAGTGAGAAGAACGATCTATTTTTTATTTGAAACTTACCTTATAACTTTTATTTCTTAAGTAGTTTCCTTTTTTTATTTAAGCAAATTTTAAAATTTTATAGAATATTTTAATATTTAACACAATAAAAATTTGACCCAGAAATTGTGTCTCTGAATTAGTCCCACTTCAGGATTATCTTCAAACAGCCAATTTTTCACAATTAATATTAAAATTCATTTCTTCAGCTTAAATTTTAAATAAAATGCTCAAGCAACGAGATATTTAGTGACATCATTAGAAATTTTCATTTCGAGTGACTTCACGAGTTAATTTAATCATCTTTAGACCTACAATCCTAGTCTTCTGACTTTTTCTGATGATTGCGTCGACCTGGTAAATTTGAAAAATTCTGGAGAAAAACAATGTTATATAAAACTTTCACATAAAATACTGAAGCGACGAGATATTTAAATATTTCTAGAGTTATAATTGAAAAATTTTTATCCCGAGTGACATCACGGATTAAATTGGTATTCAATAGACCTATAATTCTTCAGGATTAACTTCAAACAGCTAATTTATTACAGGTATTATTAAATTTCATTTCTTTTGCTTTAATTCGGGCCGCCTGGCGCAAATCTAATCTGAATTTATGTCATTGAGAGATTTTTTTTATTAAATTAGCAATTAACGAATGGTTAGGCTTTATAATCTTTGTTAAAGTCCTTATTTATTTAATTTTTGATAATTATATTGTTGTTCATTTACAAATGTCCAAGTTGTTACATAACATTTTTTACGGCCAATTGTTGAAAAGAATATATTTAAAAAGAGAGGAATTGTTGGAAAAAATGGAACCATCACTAGCAAGAATTTTTCTAAACCCTCTTTAAAATTTTTAATTTGGTTCATGATTTTTGTTTCATATTTTATATTTTTGTATTTCAGGGTTTTCGATCAAATTTTTGTTTAGTTTTTAATTTGATTATTGCCTAACAAACACATTAATATCTTTTTAAAATTTATCCAAACGCTTTTTGAATGAAAAAATAATAATTCTCTTTCCAAAATATTGAGTTTAAAGAATGAAGACCGAAAATATATTCGCAACATTCTTTTTTTTATTTAATTTATGCCACAATAGAGCGACGAAGCTATAAAAATTTGGAAGTTCACCGTGTCGTTTGGTTGTTCGCTTTGCGACACAAATTGAATTTGCCAGCCGTGCTTCAAATTGAATCGTTTTCACCGCCGAGTTTTTTGTGTTTGGTCGACGGACACGTTTTTATAACGTGCAAAAAGCGAAATTCACCGGCGGCGCCGATCACACACACATAAAACGCTGACAAAAGAGCTTTTGTTGCAGCTTTTTGGCCATTCGGATTCGGCGAAAAGTCTCTCGCGGGATGCGCGATGATGGGCGTGTGATATATTTAAATTTATTATATGCGCCCGCAAAATCCGAGCGGATTTCCAGCGCCGGCCGATTAAAATTCCCTGCCGCCCAAATAACCGCAAAATATGCGCCCCGGCTGGCTCAGATTGTACACTTTTGCCACAGCGTTTTAATTTATGCCGCGTGGAACCGTGAAATAATAGTGGTGCATTGTGTTCAAAAGTAAAACAAAACGTGCATGCGGTCGTGCGCAATGAATAGAAAAAATACCCGTTTCATAATTCAAGAGGTAATTAATCGCGACCAAAAAAAGAGGAAAATACGTGCAGAGGCAATAATTCAACCCTTTAACTGGAAGGAAAGCATGATGAATATTCATCATTGGTTTCAACGCAGCAGAACTGAAAAAAATTCAAAGAAGAGAATTATATAAATTTAAATCAAGTCTAATTTGCATATTTTTTTATATCTTTTATATACATTTTATACCTTGTTAACAGTATTTTTATTTATTCTACTCATAAACATGCAAAATAATTGAATCAAATAATAAATTAAAGTGATTTTTTCCGCAAAAAAAGCATCTAAATATCCAAGTAAAAGATTAAGATTGACAAGAGGAAAAATTAAAGTACTAATATAAAATAAAATTATATTAATTCAATTATTTTTATCACTTTCTAAAATTAAAGTTATATTAAATTTAATGAATTTTTTTAAATTTAAAGTTATATTCATGGAATGTAGTGATAATAAAATATTCAATTTTATCTAACGTTGAAGAATGAAAATAACAATAATAGAATTTTTTAGTCTTTTTTTTTTAAATTAAATTTAAATTTATTTTATTCCTTTTTTCAACTACAAATACCGTGGAGATTTTTAAATAAAATCTTGCTTTAAAATTGACATGTTTAAAATTTTTACCAAAATTTTAGTTGAAATGAATTTGTTTTCTAAACTTTTTATTTCATTTGTTTGCAGGAGAATCGTGTGCAGACAATTTCTGCGCGTTCGGCGCGACATGCGTCGAGGACGAGGACGGCGAGGCTCGATGCCGGTGTCCCGAACACTGTCCCACCCTCGGCCAGCACCCGGTCTGCGGCTCGGACGGTCGTTCGTACGTCAGCGAGTGCGTCCTGCGGATGACGGCGTGCCAGCGGCAGGAACATCTCAGGGTCATGCACCTCGGCGAATGTGGTGAGTCCAAATTTTTTAATTAAATCGATTAAAAAAAAGCTTCCAAATGCGCAAGAAATTGTTGATTTTTGACTGAGAAATGATTATTGCCAGCAGAAATACAAGAGTTATGCAACCTGCATGACATAAAAATACTTGAATTGACAATTTTTTTAATTCTAATTTTTATGGTGCTAATCTTTTATAGAACTTCACAAATTTCCAAATATTTAAAAAAAAAATACATATATTGACTTTTGATACCTTTTCATAAAAAAATCAATATATTTTCTGCGCTTTTTGAGGTTTTTCTTATTATGGGGGAAAATAAAAAAAGCAGCGATTTTTTTCCTGCTTAGAAAGTCGCCCGACGATTTTGATCAAAGTTTCGTGCGAATTTGGATTAATTTATATAGTTTTAAACGAGATTTTTTTGCCAAAAGACCTTACGGAATACCAATTTGCCGGTTCGCGGGAAGGCAAATTGAAAAACTTTGAGGACTCTTGAAAGAAAAGGGTTGGCTCATTTTTGCTGTCATAGGAGCCGCGCTGATTCGGATCGCTACACCTACTTATTTTCGAGCTCATTTCGCGTGCTGTGCACTTTTATGCCGACACGCGGCACGTTTCATACAATAATGAGAGCAAACTTAAACACCCCCGAGTCTGCTATCGGCGGCAAATCGCCGCCAAGTCATGCAATCAAGAAATTTGCCTTTCGTGCCCTTTTATCGCCTACCTGATGAATTTCACCGAAATAATCATATTTTTCACCCTAGACTGAATTGAAAAACAAATATATATTTTTAGGGGAAGGAAATGAAGACTGGCGGCTGTTTGTGCAGTCGTGTTATTATTTGAAAAGTAATTTCCTCCGAAAATAAGAGGGTTTGTTTGTTTGTTTGTGCGAGAGTGACCTTCGAATATTCGCGAATATCAGACAAAAACAAGCCTCCGATAAATTCATTTTTTTTTTATTTGCTCCTTTTCCCTCTCCGACTGGCGTTTTACTTTTTTTTTACACACACATTTGAATTTATTTACTTTCTCTCGCTGCGGGAAAATGAAAAATTCATTACGCTTTTCGCTTTTGGAAAATATGCGCGTTTTTTATTGCGACAGCGAGATAAAAGTGCGAGAGAGAGAGAGACGTACACGATGATTTGCAGCTTTTGCGGGCGCGAAATTAGAAATGTATCAGCGCCGAGTATGCAGAGCAGAGAGACAAACTAGAAAAGAGAGAGCCACCGCCTGTCGCCATATTTCACTCTCGAAAACCCACCCAACTCTCAAACGTATCCAAAATTCTCTCTGGGCAGAAATTTTTGCACACCGGTGAATTTTTTCTCCATATTTAAAACATGAAATTAATACTTTCACTTGAAAGAGTTATTTTGAAATGGCAATTCATTTTTTTTTACACTTGGGAGTTATTGATTTATTAATTTACTCCCGAATTTGTCATTTTTTACTGTTGTTCATTTGTCCAAATTATTTCATTGTTTAAAATTAATTGTTGAAAATAATTTATTTGAAAAGAAACAGGAATTGTTGGACAAAACGGCGCCACCAATAGCAAGAATTTTGCTTAAACTTCCAAAATAAAAAAGACCCCATTTTCATTTTGAAACAATGACAATTCAAATTTTTGTGACAAAATTATAATTTAAATTAATTTTATGAGCCTGGAAGTAAATTTAGAGTTGAATTTATGTTTGTATTTAATAAGTTTTCTCTAAAAATCTAAAAAAACTATAAAGTTCTGTACAATTCTAAATTGCTGCCTAAATTGGAAAAAGTTTCCATGACAAATTTCAGCGGAGACATTTGCAACTTTTCTCATATTCAAATATGTGCCTTATTTCAAAATAATTTTGAAATGTTTTTCCCTAAAATTGTGCGTTTTCCTTATTTGATTAAATGAAGCAAGAAATGAGGAAAATGTTTTCTTTATTAAAGTTTCCAAATTTACACATTTTCACGAGGGAAATTGCAAACTTTTTTCTTCTGACAGGGAATTTTGTAACAAGGAAACGTTCTTCATGAAATTGCTGTCACTAATTTAAACCAAATTTGCATAAATTGATTGATTTGGTATTGGTTATTTTAGAATTACAACCTAAAAAATTAAATCTGCTTTTTATTGTTTTGGTTCTTTAGAGTCATTAAAAATCATAAACTTTCAAATGAAAGGTAATGAAATAGTCAAAAATCTCTTTCAGTAATTTGAAGATTTCCTCAATCGTTGATAAGAAAATAAACATTCATGGATTCTTAAAAAAATTTGGTTAAAATATTGAATTATTTTGGCTTTTATAAGTAATTAAAATCATAGGAGAAACAAAACGAAAGAAATATATTGGAATTTACAAAAATCTCTTTTGAAAAAATCCTCCATCTTGAACAAAAAAAATAACATTAAAAAAGAAAATGCTTTCATGGATTCTAAAAAAAATGATCACCTTTCCTCGTTTTTAAGTCAATTCACCTTATCGGTTTAACAATATTGGATAAAAATGTAGGTTTGTTATTTTACCTTGTAAGAAGATAATTTTTTATGGTTCAAATGGAATAACAACACACGAAATAGAATAAAAAAATTATTACATCTGGAGGAAATCGGATTTAGAGTCTGTTATACGTCCCGACATTAAAAAAGGTTGATTTATCTATTTTTTGTTGTTAGTCTCGGTGTTCGGCGGCGCACTTTGCACTCACTCAACAGAGGCTGATCGATTGATTTGGAAAAAGGGTCGTGTGTGCTCGTGAAATCGGTCGTTTCGCGCAAAAAGATTGCCTCCGGCAACACCTTTTACGGTGCTCGAGAGAAGTGACAAAAGCCGCTCTGCTCGCTCTCGCCTGATAATAAATTTAACGCGGCAGCCTTTCTCGTACGTCCCAATAATAATGCAGCCGACAGTGAAAGAGCCGGAAATGACAAAGTTATCGCTTTTCCAAGGCGCACCACCTAATTAAATAATAATCTTTGCCGCAAAAGAAGAACCTGCGCAGAGAAAATAATTCAAAAAAATTGAAACCCTTTCCTTTTCTCTGTGTTGCAAAAAATTATTTTATATTCCGAGTCGTAAACATGAAATTGGTCCTTTTTTTATTTTATATTTTTTTATTCATATCGCTCTCTTTTCCGAAGGCTGCGCGCGCGTCCGACTCGATAAATAAAAATTTTATACTTTTTTCCGCTGGTGCAGTATTAAATTTTTATGTCTCGTCGCGCTTCGACCGTGCGCAAAACATAATAACAAAGAATGGAAGTTGTGATTAAAAGGACCCCCGGCGAAGGAGGAATTTTTTTTTATATACATTCGGCGATCGCCCAGCCGTGTCTAGTTGGCAGATTTCGTCGGTCCTTGTTATTGGCTTTTTACGTCCAATATAAAGTGGAATAATGCGCGATCCGCCGTGGACAATATATTATATTGCGGCTGCGGGCGAAATCATTTTCGACGTCACATCAAAGGCGATCCGGATGGGATTACGGAGCGTCCAGGTACATAATATACGGACGCTTTGTTGCGGCCGCATATTGTTTTTCGCTGATTACCTCTCGCTCCGGGACAAAAGTGCATCGCAAAATAGCCGCTCCATCGCCGGTAATTGATTTAATTTCCGATATTAACCGTGGACAACGTCACGGTTTGTTTACACAGAGTGCTTGATGCCGCCTTTGGCAACGATAAAAAACATTTTTGCAATTTAAATTTTGCAAAGTACGATTCAAACGAAATGTTTATTCTGTAAATTATGCATAATATATATTTTAAAGAGTAATTTTTATTTTAGGAACGGATAAATGAAATTTAAAAGGTGAAAATATTAAATAATTCTAGCCTTTTGCCCTACAAAATCCAAATTACTTTCAAAGAGTTTCTTTTTTCAACAAATTCCAAAATTTCATTCCAACCCTTATTTTGGCTACCCCCTTTTTTCATTTTGTATTTCCGCCATATTTTTATGCTAATGGCTTTTGTCATTTTTTTCGCTTGGATATAATTTATATTTTATGGGATGCAAAATTTTTTAATGGCTTTTTAGGATTAGTTAAATAATAAAATATAAATGAAACAAGTTTTCCAATTAAAAACATGCAGATCAAAAAGTTCACATGACTTATTTCAAGTCTATTTCGTCAATGATTATTATTATTGAAATTGAAATTTGATGCTTTTAAAAAAAATGGTCCAATTTTTGTGTACGAATTGCTGATTCCAATCAACAATCAACATGACACCAATTTTAAAAAAGTAGCGTGGCAGAGATTTGCTCTATTTATATTGAGGCTGGTTTCGAATCAAATCAATTCAACTGGTCCTTTCAACCATAAAAGTTGTAAATTGGAGAATAAATTGGAAGGGAAAATTTTCCGTATTTCAAAATCCTTTGTTGTAAACTTGCATATTCTACTTAATTTTCAACAAAATAAGTGGATTTTTTAAAATCAATTTTCTTCTAAATCTAGTGTTTTTCAGCACTTTTTACCGGAGTTACATATTTCTTGAAAGAATAACTTGAACTCTGCCTTTGATTAAGGAGAATCAACTTAATCGCGATCATAAACATTTTAAATTGAGTTGATTTAGGTAGATCAGCAAAATGAACGTTGGGTTTTTTGATGCACTGCAAAAATTTAAAAATTTCCAGATATGAAAACACATAGATAATTAAAACAATCAGTAAGAGTTTGATCAATTTTTCTAAAGTTCTTCAAAACATGGAAGCTCCCATTTTTTGTATTTTTATTCTGTTTTATTAAATTGTGCGCAATTTAATCAGTTTGAAATGTTATTACCTCATTTTAACGCCTTTAAATTTTAACTTTTGTCGGCCCAAAATTACATGGTTAAGTTCAATTTGAACAGCATCGATGTAAGTAAATATTCTGCAGAATACAATTTATTAATTCATGTTTCCAAAGATAATAGGGTTTTAACTTTTGATATTAAAAAGGAACAAATTTTTTAACAAAAAAAATTCTGAGAGAATTGCATGGAAATGAATTTTGC